TTTTTTTTTTTTTTTTTTTTAACCTTAGCTGGACTACTTAAAGTTGTTGTGCACATTTGTAGTTTATTAGTCATTCAGAGACTATATTTGGGGAGACCGTTTTTTTTTTTTTTTTGGTGATGCACTGTGCCGAGCAGATTTAGATAGACTTTAGGTACAGAATTTGGGGTGCTCCTCTGTCTTTTTCTTTTCAGGATTTCCATACTTGCTATCCAGTCCTGTGGTCTCCACTTCTAGGGTCATGGGATGGGTGGTGTGGCCTGCTGGTCTTCAATTAGCAAATGTAGGGTTTGGGAAGGTGAAAGAAAGAAGACAGAAAGAAGGAAGTCTTCTCTAGTAAGGATACTAGAGAAGGGCTGTCCCTAGGGAATAGAGAAGTATATGCTTATAATAAATTAGATGGGGGCCTCAGCAGCCCAAGTACCTGCCTGGCAAGTGCAAGGACCCGGGTTTAATCCCTGATACCGCATGCTGTGCCAGCCCCAGGAACCCTGGGCGCCATGCAGGCCACTGAAACTGGGTGTGGTGGTGAATGCCTGTAATCCTGGAACTGTGGAGGCTGAGACAGGAGGATCACTGAGTCCAAACTGCATAGTGAGACCCTGTACCAAATAAATAAATAAAATAAAAACAGATGGGGGCCAACCAGATAGCTCAACGGATTAAAACACCTGCTTAGGCAGATTGCAGTGGCTGGGGTTCAATCCCTGCATACTGTGCCAGCCCCGCCCTCAGGGCACATTGAGACAGTTACTGAGACTGAGCATGGTGGCACGTGCGTATAATCCCAGAACTTGGGAGACTGAAAACAGGAGAATCACTAGAAGTCCGATCTCAATAATGAGACCCTGTAGATCCTGTACTAAATACAATAAATAGGGGCCGGGAAGATGGCTCAGTAGAATAAGTGCTTCCCTGGCAAGCGCAAGGGCCTGAGTTCAACCCCTGGTTCCGCCAAAAAAACCCAAAACAAAACAAAACACCTAAATACAATAAATAAATAAATACAAAAACATTAGAGGCGGGTAATGTTCATTAAAGCTTAAATATTAGAGCCAGTTTTGGTGCTGCACACTTATAATCCCAGCACTGAGGAGGCTGAGTCAAGAGGATTGCTGTGAGTTGAAGGCCAGTCTGTATTACATAGTGAGAACTTGTCTCAAAAAAAAAAAAAGTTTAAATATTAGAAATCAGGGCCAGGGAGATAGCCCAGTAGAATAAGTGCTTGCCTGGCAAGTGCAGGATCCTGAGTTCAATCCCCGGTACTGCAAAAAAAAGAAAGAAATATATGTCCCTGATTACTGCTGAGACATTTCATGCCTTGACCCTTTCTCTGATTCTATCTCATGGGTCCTGGCATTCTTAATATTTGACAGCTAACCAAATCTATTTACAATTTTATGACTCACTGTACACAACACACACACTGAGAAATGAACTTGTTACCCCAAAGAATGTGGCCAGTGTATACATGAAAAGATGCTTTTTTGTTTGTTTGTTTTTGAGACAGGGTTTCACTATTCACTATGTGATTCAGACTGGCCTTGAACTCACTTTGTAGCCCAGGTTGGCCTTGAAACTACAATGATCCACCTGCTCACCTTCCCAAGTGCTAAGATTATTAAGGAGGATATACTAGTAAAATAACATTAAAATGTTTGCCTATCAAACTGGCAGAGATTGTTTATTCTTGGTATGGGTTATAGACATTTCACATTGCATCTGGGAATAGAGGTTGGAATAACATTTGTGCAGGGATTATTAAACCATGGGCGGTGCTGCTGTCAAAGGTATAGGTACCTTGAAAGCTGATGGAAATAGTTGGAGGTATAAGATCGCAAAGCTGACAGCATAGTATGATTCTATTAAAATATGCACTTAAATGAACTTCAAAAGTGTCTGTGAGGGGCAGGGGAGATGGCTCAGTGGAATAAGCGCTTCCCTGGCAAGCACAGGGTCCTGAGTTCAATCCCTGGACCACCAATGGACCACCAAAAAGAAAGAAAAGGGGCTGGTGAGATGGCTCAGTGGTCTAAAGCACCTACTTAGAACAAGCTAAGCTAAGCAAAGCACAGAGACCCCGGTTCAATCCCCCAGCACCACATGCCAGCCAGCCCCGCCCCCTGGTGGGCTGAGCTGGCCACACACACACAATAAATAAATAAATA